TCGTTTCAATACTCGTTCGTATTGATTTTCAAAACACTCGTCTGTGTTATTATCTTTTTGATACTCGTCTGTATCTCTTTTCAATACTCGTTCGTATTGATTTTCAAAATACTCGTCCGTGTTATTACCTTTTTGATACTCGTCCATATCTCGTTCCAATACTCATCTGTATGGATCTTCAAACACTCGTTCGTGTTAACCTTTTATTAATGATCGTCTGTATCTTCTCTTGATACTCATCTGTGTCGACCCTTTCTTTAAACCTCCACCAGATATCATAAATAATAACACTTACACCATCTCTCCAGGACAAATTTTAGGTCTTGGTATTTAATCTTCTTCTACCTTAAATGATCGAAAGGCTGACGCCAATCTCACTTTCAGGTTTAAGACGATTAAATAGGGGTAACTGTCATACCCCAAATTTGTATTATCTATTTTACTTTTATCTGGTTTAGGCTTCGCATTTCATTTGCATCATTTCCACTAGATCATTCACATATCATACATTCCTAAGGCATGTGTTCAGAATCAGAGGTTGTGCCAATTAGGGTTTCCATTGGTTTGAGATTTCCTCAGTTAAAATAAAGGTATACACATCTGGTTTTTCTCTTGAGCAGTGGACTTGTGAATTAGGGTTTTGATACCATAACTATCTTGAGCATCATTTCCTCGATATCTATGGTTTTGTCCCTCCATCATCGCAAGCATTCTCTTTACTGAGGATCATCAAACCATTTTCTTCATTCAGTGTGCATCTCAGGTGGATAAGGGTTTTGCATCATTCATGTATGGTTTGGTTGAAGTCCATCAATACATATGTTAGGGTTGTCACTTGTATGCTCTCAAGGTTTCATCAATGGTTTCAATCAATATCCTAATTTAGATTTTATTTCCATGTGATTATCAAAATACTGGTCCGCTGGTTCTTCCTCTGTACGTTGGACTTTGGATTAGGGTTTTGACTCTTGTTCATTCTAGATCCTTTCTCTCATAAAGAGACAAGACCATCTTTTCAAGTTACTTCAAGAAGCAAGCAGATTATGGTTGTGCCTTGTTGATGCTATGGTTTCCTTCAATACTTCAAAGGAGGATCTTATGAGCTAGGTTCATTAGAGTTCATACTTCAAGCCTTAAAATTCTACAAGATTCCTCAAGGCAGTGCTTTCAACAAGATGATGTATTTATGGATTGAGTCGAGCTATGGTGTAAAGGAGAAGTTGTGGGACTTAAATTTCAAGATAACTTAGATTTTGGGACTTGAAGTTAGAGGTCGGTCCATAAGATACAAATTGGTTTGAATGACATTGAAATTTGGAGTTTATTGCAAAAGCTTAGGTCATTTTTCATTTGCAAGAATTTTATTCATGTTCAAGGTCACATATTCATTCAAGTTTCTAAATAAGAGCTAATATTGGTTCATATGTTTTTTCTTAGCAAAATCAAAGTTTCAAATAGGAACCAATATTGTTCAAGGTTCATTTCAAATTCAAGTGACATTTCAAATTCCATTCATTTTGATCCAAGGTTCTGTACAAAAGAAATTTCAAGATTCATCAAAGATTTACATAATATTCATTCAAACATCATTCATTACAAGAGAAAGATTTACAAACCATACATAAATTCCTAGTCCTAATCTTAAACTTTCATATTTCAAAACATAATCTTCAAACTCTATGTCATGCCAAGATAATAAACCATGACAATGCCAGCCCATGAACTTGCTACAAAACAAAGTCTTGAATCCCGCTGTCCATTCTGCTGCTGTCCACAAAGCCTAAAACAACATATACCTGTATATAAACCAGCTGCTACAACCCTTCAAAATAGTCCAAAAAGCCATCTGCTACTGCTTCCCATATCACTCCAAAACCTGCATAACATAGCCTTGCATCAATCCACAAACAACCAGAGATTAAACCAAATTAGAAAAATCAAAACATGCCACCAAAGTAAGCAAAAAACAGTTGACAATTTATCCAAAAATTCTAACAGCAAACTCCCTCCAAATTGGCCTCTCATCAGCTATATATAAGGAGGAAAATCAGAAGACAAGGGGAGGAAGACATAAAAAAAACCCTACAGAAAACTTATGTGAAAAGCATTACAATACCTCTGCTCCATACCCTTCAATCTCATTACCTCACTCCCTCCATAAACATATACACTGCATAACCCTTCTATTTCTTAAATCCATACACAATCTGATTCCAATAATACACCAACAAAATCCTTCCTCATAACTCTCCATAAACCTCACACTATTGAACAATAACATCAGGAACAGCTCCGCATAACACAGGTTCACGACATCATCATTCCGAAACACCGACAACATTAACACGACAATAACTCAGAAGCGTGCAGAACAAGAAGTACTGGAACATAAAGAGAGCTTGAGAAACTTACCAATTTTTCAGATGCATCACTGATCTGGTCTCGTGTGTACATGTTCTACACATCTTTTCATTTTATTTTCATTCAACCGCGATACAAGCCGTGCCTATTGCTAGAATGTGTGCGCTAACGTCGCCCACTAAAAAACACCAATAAACCAACATTTTCTAGAAGAACTACAGTGTTTTGATTCCTTCACGGGATACGTAGGCAAAGGGTTACGAGACCCTCACGAACGCACTAATAAAAAAACTATTTCATTTCCCTTAGCAAGTATAGTTTTAGATAGACGCACCCTGAGAAACAAACAATCGAAATGGATCCCGTTAAGTACAACGGATGTGAGAGGGTGCTAATACCTTCCCCTCGCATAATTAACTTCTGTACCCTCTCTTTTGGTCGCAAGACTATCTTATCCATCCTCCTAGAGTTTTCTCGATATTTCTCCTTCCTTCGGGATAAATAAAGTTTGGTAGCAGCTCTGTGTTTTTTGCCGGTCGCTTCACTTGGGTATTGTTTGTCTATATAAAGGATTGCTGAATTTGCAATTAAAAAGCGAGAAAGTAATCAAAATAACAAACTCTCAATTCTCTCTCTTCTCTTTTTTTCTTCTTCTTCTTCTTTTCATAAATCATCTTTCTTGAAAACTCTTTATTCCAACATGACATAACTATGAATTATTTTTTTATAAGTATAAAAAAATTATGTTTTATGTTGAAACTAAATTTTGTGTTATAAAAGTTCAACATTTTCTATGTTTTTTCAGTACATTAAAGAATAATTTAATTTTTTTAATTTATATTTAAATAAATAAAAAAGGAAAGAAAAATTAAAAATGAAAGTGAAAAAGTTGTAGGAGAAAAATGTGAAAGAGATTTGAACTTTAAATAGAAAGATAATGAAGAGAGAAAAAGTTGTAGTTAAAAAAATAAAGAAATAAAATAAGTTTAAAAAAATAGTAAAAAAGAAGAAAGCAAGACAAGTGTCAATATAGTAGAGGATTTGAATTTAAAAATAAACGACATGACAAATTATAATAAATTAATTTGAACAACTAATTTTAACATTAAGAATTGACTGTAGTACCTTTTTGATAGCGTAAATCATTAAAACAAAAAGGGTATTACTGAGAGTGTATCACTATCATTTTAATAGGTCTATATATATATATATATATATATATATATATATATATATATATATATATATATATATATATATATATAGGCGTAAGCAGTGACTCTATGGGCAAGGCAGACGGGGACAATCTCTGCTCAGTCCTCTGCCCTACATGGATATTTATAGTGTTTGTTGGATTTTGTATGATCATTATCATTGGACGTGTTTTTTGTCTGAAGCATATGAAATTACAAATAGTTCATGTGGTAGCTGTCATAATCAAAAGAGGTGTTACCTTGTTTTTTTTAATTAATTATGAAACATTAACTTCCATAAAAATAGTTTTCAAATTCTATAAATTTCTTAAAATTGCTATATAATGTTTAAGTAAAAGTAATTTTATAAGTATATAATCGATTCCGGGTGATTTTTAAATGTTTGGTTAGGATAAAATAGAATTGATTCTGTTTTTCTATTTGATTTTATTTAAAATTAAAATTTATAATTTCTATTTTCAGAATTGATTCTAGATGATTTTTATATTCAAATTTATTGTTCAATTCACTTTTACGTAAATGTATCTAAACATAAATCAATTCTATAAAATTCAATTCTATTAAAATCAATTATGTCAAACTCAATTTTATTAGAATTAATTCTGTCAAGCGTCAATTCAAAACAGTAAAATATTTTAGCCAAATAAAAATATTTATTTTACATTATTATTTAATGAAATAGATATCAAAAGAAGGTGAATTAATTAGCCTTCTCTCTCTTAGTAATATTTGTTCTCTTTGATATTTTATAATTTTTAAGATAATAATTAATTATATTAATTTAATGATAAAATAAATTTTATTTATTAAAATAATCTTATTAATAATAAATATTAAAATAATTATATAAATTAAAATACAATAAATACAAATATGTTAATGGAAAGAAACAAATACAAATCTTTCACTTTTAAAAAAAGTCATACGCGTCAATAAAAGTTAATATATTTAAATCAAGTTTAAAAATTAAAGACATTACTTTTTGTTAATCTGTCTCTTACACGTAACAGTAAAAATCTCACTTTACTCTATCATAATTGACCTATTTGCAATAAATTAAAGTGGTCTTAAAGTAATGAACACTTTCAATTTTAAAGTATGATTAATATTTTTTTCAATACTTTAACATGATTAGTACTACAAAAATTCATAATTTATTATTAATTTTATTTCATTATTTAAAAGGAATAAGAAGCAAAACTGAAATTGATCAAATGACACCTGTATATTTAAAAAAAACAATAAAGGAATTCTTATCCTAATTTGAGACAAATACCAATTTCCTTTAAAAGCCACACTTTACAGAATTGAACCTCTCAACCATTCTTTCTTCTCATCTTTATTTTTTCCATCACTTATAGCTTCTTCATAAACCAATCAAACTCTACCTTTCGAAAGCAAACAAGCACAAATTGCTTGTTAGCTATGTCGAACAAAATACCGTCTTCACCTTTAGGAGAAGCAAAGGTTCCATTATTATTACATAATGAAGAAGAAGAACAAGAACAAGAACAAACTCTTACAAGAAAGGTTTTGATTGAATCAAAAAAGCTATGGCATATAGTAGGCCCTGCAATTTTCAGCCGTATTGCATCCTATTCTATGTTGGTCATCACTCAAATCTTTGCTGGCCATCTAGGTGACCTCGAACTTGCTGCTATCTCGATCGCCAATAATGTTATCGTCGGCTTCGATTTCGGACTCTTGGTAGATTCACATAACAATATTCCATTTTAATCTATACTCATTTTGTTTTGTTGCCTCAAATTAAGTTCAATTTTGTTTACGATGTTTCAGTTGGGGATGGCGAGTGCGTTAGAAACACTTTGTGGACAAGCATTTGGAGCAAAACAATACCACATGTTAGGAGTATACATGCAAAGATCATGGATAGTATTATTCATTTGCTGTATTTTTCTGCTACCAATATATCTCTTCGCGACGCCGGTGTTAAGAGTGTTGGGACAACCAGAAGATTTATCTGTATTATCAGGAGAAGTTGCAATGTGGTTGATACCGTTACATTTTGCATTTGCTTTTCAATTTCCTCTCAATAGGTTTTTACAGAGTCAACTGAAAACCGCCGCTATAGCTTGGGCTTCTCTGATGGCACTTCTGGTTCATGTTTTTGTTAGCTGGTTGTTTGTCTATAAGTTCCAGCTTGGTGTCATAGGAACTGCTGCTACTTTGAATTTCTCTTGGTGGGCACTAGCGCTTGGCCTTTATCTTTATACTGCTTATGGCGGTTGTCCTTTGACATGGAAAGGCTTTTCTATGGAGGCTTTTTCTGGCCTTTGGGAATTTCTTAAACTCTCTGCTGCTTCTGGTGTTATGCTATGGTATAATCTAGCTCCATCACAATTTTATAAGAAAAAGTTTACTTTTTAAATTCATTAAATAACTAATATATCTGGACAATACGCAGACTAGATATATTAATTAATTAATAAAATTTTAAAAAATGGTTTTTTTTTTTATAAATATATCAGAGGGAGTATTATTTTGTTATTTTTTATTTCTTGATTAATGTTTTTAAAGTTTGTGATTATTTTTATGTTTTTCTTGTCTCCTTTTTACAGTTTGGAGAATTGGTATTATAGAATTCTGATACTGATGACTGGGAATCTACCTAACGCAGAGATTGCAGTAGATGCTTTGTCCATATGGTAAATTTTTATTTATGATTATTTGTCAGCTTTTATGTATTGTCCGTGAGTGTCAGTTATTCACTGGCATCCATCACAATTATTACTCTCTCACTTTCACAATGACACTAAATGATCCATTTGTAATAAAATAATATTTAAAATGAATAGTTTATTTTAATTTTTAATATTTTTTTAATTATATCATTTAATTAATATTCGTAATATTTGTAATAAAAGAATATTGTTAACAATTATTTGTTTATATAATTTGAAAAATAGTTTTAATCATAATTAAAAAAAATTATTAACTAACAATTATATCTGAATGGTAATATAAATATGATTTACTTTGTGTACATATAACAAAATTATATTTACCAGATTATTTTATTTTAAATTAACTAAAAAATTGAAACGGATATTAAGTTATTAACAATATGTATTGGTCTAATAGCAAAGGTTTGAGACCTAAAAATATATTTCTCTTAAAATTCAAATTAAATTATTGTAGTTGTAACCGACTTTTGTGTTGGAACAATTTATTACAATTCTTGAAGTGGGTACAAAACTTCATAAATTAACACCAAACTACAAAATATTCATTATTGCATCACTCTATTTGTCATGATATTGTTATTTTTGTATTGATCCATAAATGTTTTTGGTTTTGCAGTATGACAGTAAATGGTATGGAGATGATGATTCCTTTGGCCTTCTTTGCTGCAACAGGGTAACATGCTTGTCTTATTTTAATTTCAATAACATGCTATTCTAAAGTTTGTAGTTCTTATTTTATTTAATCTCTCTTACTTGTTTAAGTTTTCTTCATAAAAAAAATGAAGGCCTCATCAAACTCATGGCTAAGATTCATGCATGATGAGACCAAACTTCTTGGATGATAGCTGCCAATGCCATACCCAATAATTTTAATTGTGGTGGTTAATCGAGACATTTGGACTTAGTGAAAAAATATACAAATAAAACACGAAATTTATAACCATGTACTATATAGTATATACTACTAGTAATTATAAAAAAATTCTCAAAAAGAAAAACATATCCAAAGTCCAAACAATTGATTTTGTATTATGATATTGAAATATGAATGGTTATCTATTGATTTGATGACTCTAGATTTTGGCAGAAGACTACCACATGCATAGCCTCAAGTCGAAATAATAAAAACGACAAAAATATCTTGCGTGTTTGGATTCCCTATATTATTTTACGAAATTTCACTATTTTCTTAAATGGTTTTTTATTATTAATACTTTTGGCTACTTAGTGTGACCTGGACAAAAACCTTTATTTTTATTGTATTTATTATGTCATATTCCAAATAGGGTTTTGTATTCAGAGAATCATGTGAAAACTGTGAACAATGGTTTGGTTTGGTCATTGATTTGTCAACTTTATGGCCACATCTATGTTTTGGTATAGCCATCAATAATTTATATAATTTCACATTTAATAATATTGATTTCCATAAAGTAGTACTAGAATAAAAACAACTAACTTTATATTGGGTCATCACTTTTTAAGTAGAAAAAGGGACAATAATTACAACTATATAGTGCTACTGACAGATAATAAAAGTAATAAATTACTTAGTTAATTCTTATATAATTTTTTAAATAATTTTTTTATATAAAATTATTAATAAAATATCAATCATTTATTACAATAATATTGAGCAAAAATAATATTAATAATGTAATGTATATGCAGAGTAAGGGTTGCAAATGAGCTTGGAGCTGGAAATGGAAAAGGAGCAAAATTTGCTACTATTGTAGCTGTGTTGACATCATTAACAATAGGAATTTTCTTCTGGATACTGATTTTGGCATTGCACAATAAATTTGGTTACATATTTACTACTAGTAAACCTGTTCTTGATGAAGTAAGCAAGCTTTCTCTTCTATTGGCATTCACTATTCTTCTCAATAGCATTCAGCCAGTTCTATCAGGTATTATAATTCAACAAATTACAATCAATATTATTTACATTTTTAAAATTAAATATAATTTTTTTTTTAAATTTAACGATTACGATTATTTGATAATGTTAAATTAGGAGTGGCCATCGGATCGGGATGGCAATCATATGTTGCATACATAAATTTGGGTTGCTACTATATTATTGGAGTTCCTCTTGGATTTTTAATGGGTTGGTACTTTAAGCAAGGAGTTATGGTATGTTTAATTTTTCTATTTTTTTTTTTATTTTGTTAATTAAATTGTGAATTTAGTAATTTTGTAGAATGTGAACTAATGGTTTTGAAATTGAACAATCAGGGAATATGGGCAGGGATGATATTTGGAGGAACAGCAACTCAGACATTGATATTGTGTTGGATTACACTTAAGTGTGATTGGGAGAAAGAGGTAACTATCAAATTTCTTTTTGTTTTGTTTTGTTCTGTTTGTTTTTTTGAATTTGGATAATTAATTTTTTCTTTTTGTTAAAATTGCAGGCAGCAAAAGCAAAATTGCATATTACAAAGTGGTCAGATAGAAAACAACTATTGAGCTAGTGTTTGTTTTGAAGAGATTCAAGTTGAAAAATGTATTTTATCATTACTTCTTTGTCTCTTCCTAACCAAATGGGATATTATTTGTAATGGGATTTTACTATATGAATATTTGTACTGGGTTTTATAGGCTGAAACTATATAAATACTATTATTCATTTTAAAATTAATTAATCAGATTAAATATAGTTTTTTTTTTCTTTTCAATTTGTTTTGATTGAGGACTGTTCGCTTGTCTAATGGGAATGTAGTTGTCCACTTTACACTAACATGAATTTTGTGATGAATAAAAAAATTGTAGTTTCTTTTATAGTTAGTCGCAACTTACTCTTGGCACATGTTTGTTTCTACGTTAAGTGTGTTTCAAGGTGCTATCTCCGGTGGGAGACTTTTTTTTTTTTCAAAATAAATTTTCTTTTTTTTTTCTTCTAAAAGAATAAATATTAAGTGTTGAATAAATTATAACGGTTAGAATTTTTGGATCACAAATGTAATATTATATGTGTTAGAGTTATTATATAATTAGTTAAAATTATAATACGCTAATTAATAATAAATTTGTGGTTAAAAATTTAAATATCATGAAAGACTAGGTTATTGTGTAGATATCATAAGTCAATATCTAATTTGATAATAGGCTAAATTAGAATATTGAAAACAAAAACAACCTTAAAGTTATTTATAAGGGTTATGATTTTCATTTATAGACAACGAAAAAATTACTTATCGGGAATTCTCTCTTCATCCCCATCAGAGGAGAATTAATGAACCATAAGAAACTATACAAATTAGAAGATCAAATACCCGTAAACTTTCGGTGATTCTCAATGACAATTTCAGGTACGCTTCCGCTTGTTGGTGCACAAAGAAGAGATGAAAGACAAAAGGAATATATTTAATGACGGCTACAAAAAATAAGGAATAATAATTTACAATGAATTACATTGACCTACTTCACTAGGCTATTTATACACAAAATTAGGGTATAATAAAATCATAAATATCCTCTAACAAAAATATAAAAAGATCTAAAAGGATATTCCTAAAATATAAATTACTATCTAAAAAAGATATTCCTAAAATATAAATTAATTCTAACACCATCCCTTAATTTATATTTACCCAAAACTGACAACACCAATTCCATCCATCAAACTAAGAAATTGATCAGTCTGGATAGCCTTTGTTAGAAACATCTTCCAGCTGCTTCTAGGTGCTACAGTGCACAACTTCTAATATTCCATTCTGAACCTGATTCCTCAGAAAGTGATACTTGGTCTCAATGTGCTTGTTTCTCCCATGCAACACTGAGTTCTTGGCAAGATTGATTGCAGACTTGTTATCAATCATCAGCTTCAGATGTTTATTTACCTTAATTTTCAGATCTTGCAGCAAGTTCAGAATCCACACAGCTTGGCATGCAGTCAGAGTGCCTGCAATATATTCAGCTTCACAGGTTGACAGCGCAACAACAGGTTACTTCTTGGAACACCAAGAAATTGGACCTCCCAGAAATTTGAATACGTACCTAGAAGTACTTCTTCTGTCAACTCTATCTCCGCACCAATTAGAATTTGAATAACTCAGAAGTTCTGATTAGATATTTCTTCCAGACGGAAATAACACTCCATACTTCAGAGCTTCCTTCACATACCTCAGAATCCTGACAGCAACTTGATAATGAGACCACTTTGATTTACTCATAAATCTGCTAACCATTCCAACTACATAGCAAACATCAGGTCTGATATTACACAAATACCTCAGAGAACCAACCATCTGTTTGAAGGTTGTAGCATCTACATCCTCTCCATCAGAATCAAAGTCTAACTTCTGATTCGTATCAGTAGGTGTGACAGTAACTTTACAATTCTCTAACTTAAATCTCTTCAGAAGCTCAAGTTCATAATTCACCTGATACAAAATGATTCCTTTCTCAGAGTACATAAATTACATCCCTAGAAAGAAACTCATTTTCCCAAGATCTGTTATCTCAAACTCATTCATCAGAACCTTCTTGAACTCAGCTATCTCTTGTTCATAACTTCCTGTGAGCAATATATCATCAACATACAAACATACTAGAATGATATTACCTTCTGAAGTGTGCTGAACATAAACACCATACTCCATCTCACACTTCTGAAACCCTTGTCCCTAAAAAAATGAATCAATCTTCAAATTCCAAGCTCTGGGCGCTTGCTTCAATCTATACAAGGCTTTGTGTAATTTGAACACCATCCCTTCCTGATTCTTTTTCTCAAATCTAGGAGGTTGTGATACGTATATCTCTTCTTGTAATGGACCATTCAGAAATGCAGATTTTACATCTAAGTGCATCAGAGGCCAATTCCTATTAGCAGCTATTTCAATCACTAGTCTGATTGTTTCATGTCTCACTATAGGTGCAAACACTTCAGAGTAATCCAACCCAGGTTTCTGTAGAAAGCCTCTTGCTATACTAATCTTGCTTTGTATTTGCCAATTGATCTATTTGGCTTTAGCTTCTGCTTGAAAACCCATCTAACGCTGATGACTTTCTTGCCTTTTGGAAGTTCTGCCAGCTTCCAAGTCTTGTTTCTCTCTATAGCATCAAGTTCTTTTTTCATGGCCTGCAACCATACTTGCTGCTTAAGAGCCTCTTTCGTACTCACGGGTTCAAAGTCTACTAACATTACACACTGAATAACTTCTCCTTCGGAGTCTACTTCAGTGTCTTGCAACATGTCAAACTCTGCAAATCTTCTTGGGATGCTTCTGACTCTTTGTTGCATCTGAACTGGAGCTTCAGGACCTTAGGCACCAGAATTTTACCCTTCAGAAGCTCTTGCTTCGGAATTTTGACTTTCTCCAGAACCTTGACTGTCTTCAGAGTCTAGAAAATTCCCAGAGTCTGAATCACCATCAAATTCAGAATCATCTTCTCCTTTTGTATCTTCTTCAGAGCCATGGTCTTTACCAGCTTTAGAAACACGTGTTTCTAACTTTTCTTCAAGAGTTATCTCATCAGAGTCAGGACGGGACCTTTCCCAATTCCAAAATTCTGATTCTTTTACAATGACGTCTCTGGTGAACTCAACTTTGTTAGTTTTTGAACAATAAAGTTTGTACGAACATGTACTGTGGTACCCCACCAGTAACATTACTTTACTTCTATCATCCAGATTATGTCTTTTGGCTTCTGAAACATGTTTGTAACATACATAACCAAACACCTTCAGATGACTAAGACTTTGCTTATCTCCAGTCCACTTCTGAATAGAAAATATTTCCTTAAATTTCTTCCTTGGACATCTGTTGAGCATATAACATGCAGCGGCAACAAATTTTCCCCACGGAGTATGAGGAAGCTTTTTCTCTTTCAGCAAGCTTCTCACCATATCAAGCAAAGTACGGTTTCTTCTTTCAGCAAGACCATTGTGTTGAGGATTATAGGGAGCAGTAACTGTTGTACCCCAAAATTTGCCCTCCCATATTCTCCAAGATTTGTCAAGTCAAGGTCACAAAATTCCCCAAGGGTTATGCAGTTCAACTGTCTCCTATACAGTCAAAACTAGGGTTTGTGTCCTGATCAAGAAAAGGAAGATTTCAAAGGCCCAATCAAGTCTCACATGCCTACAAAGATGGTCAAGTATCCTCATATCAAGTTTCAAGGCATTCAGCTCAAAATTGCACAGTCAAAACCCTAAATTGCACTACAGTCAACTGTAGGGGCAAAATGGTCATTTGGCAGTCAAAAGTTCAAATTTTTGGTCAATATATCATTTTGAAGCCACAAACATCATTTGATCAATGCTTGATCATGATTCTCAAAATTTGGCTCAGAAATCATCAAAGATGCAAAAGTTGCTATATTTGGACAGCTGAAAAAGTCAACTGAAATTGACCAGGGCATAACTTTCACATGGATCATCAGAAAAATTCCATCCAAAGCTCATTTTGAAGAGAAAGACATTTCCTACAACTCATCTTCATATTCCAAGTCCAAGAAATGCTCTCACAAAAAGTTATCAATTTCAACATTATAGGTCATTTTTAAAAGTCAACAAAAAGGGACTTTAAGTCAAAGGCCATAACTTGAGATTGGTAAATCAAAATGACATGGGACGAAAGGCATTGGTTAAAGGACTCAAAGACCTTTCCAAATGTCCAAGAACATGTGAAAAGCTTAAAAATTGAGCAAGTTATGCCTTGTGGAAGTTGGGAAAGTTTTGGGAATTTTGAAAAGTCAACAATGGTTCAAATGATCCAAAAATGCAAATGGGCCCATTTTTCTTCCAAGTTTCTTCATGCCAAGCCTATGCACGACCACTAGGCCCAAAGGGAAGTATTTTCTCATTTTTTAATTATTTATTTGAATTTATATTAATATTAATTCATTTAAATTATTTAAATAAGTAGAAAATATAAAACTTGACCTAAAAAATCTTTTTATGCATGTTTGATACTCAATATTTCGTGCTTGTTCAATTGTGGAAAGTTTTGGTCTAATTGGAGGCAAATTGATACAAAATGCACATGATAAGATTCAAAAAGATCCTTAAGCAAATCAAATCTTCAATCAAAGATTACAAGGGATTTTATGCAGTTTTCTTGACCTAAATTGTTCTATACATATTCAAAGTCACAAACCTAATACCTTTAGACTAAAAGCTGCGCAAAATACCATTGAACAAACTTGGAGTTTTTGGCAAAAAGTGCAAAACTGATTTCAAGGTTAGAGGTGGATTCAAGCCTCCATTCCTTTTCCAATAGTTTCCTTAGGCATTCCTGAACGTATTCCAATCAAAATCGATCATCTCAGCGCCTAGAATTGGTATACAGAAACCCAGTTTTCTCTTATATTTTTCAAAGTCGTATTTCCAGATTTAGGCGTTTTCATGGCATTTTGATTATGCATTTATATTGAGTAAGGTATTCTGAAGCTAACTATATGGATTGATTGTGTTTTTATGAGCTATACAAGAAATCGCCATGGTTGTATTTTAGGGTTTGCAGGACCT